ATTCTGAAAAATGGTGGATGGATCAAACAAAGGAAGCCTGGTCCTCAAATGTCCTACTAGATCATAAGCATTTACATGCCTCAGCTGGTTTCTTACCTATTATATTGGAAAGAAATGTTTCTACCATGTTTGGGTCCCTAATTTTGTTTTTCTTTATTATAGCAACTCAGCTTATATCCTATTGCAATCGCTTTATTTTTCATTTTATAAAGCTTTTTTTTTAAATATTCTGGATGAGAATTTAAAAGTCCCAGTGAGTGAACTCCAAAAAGTAACACAAACAGTAATACTGATACAATTAGAAATTGTCTTACATAAGTTAACACTTGTCTAAGAAATGTATCATGGCTAGAAAATGACAAACATTACCCAAAAGTTTATAAAATGTCCCATAATTTTGAATCATGCAAAATAAAATTTCACTTGAATAATTGTAATACTTCAAGATTAGCAAGGAAGATTTTTCAAAATACACATAATCAAAGGTTCTAAGATATACTGAACAGGAATCTTTAATGGAGGAGTCTAGATTTGTGATTCTTTAATGGAGGAGTCTATATACAGAGAAACTTTTTAAAATCCTAGGCCTTGCAAAGAAAAATGTTACTGCTAATCTAACAGCAGTAAGGAGTGCACTGTTAGTTGATAGTTGTTACTGCATTTATATTAACTCTTACACTTATTGAATAACTCTATGGCCAAAACCAGATATTTTTAATTGCTGTTGAGGACTCTCTTAAAGAAAGCCATCACTGGGAGCAATGTTAGGGGAAAGTAAGAGAAATTTACCCTCAATACTTGCTTTCCAGGGCTCAGAGGAGACAAAAATAGCCAAACATAATTATCATTGAGCATTAAAAACCCTTTCATTGATTATCTGAAAATCCCTACCATTGATCTGCCTACTTCCAAGGCAGCTTACACAGTTAATGCTCAAATATATGAGAAGCACCCAGTGCTCAATGGTCAGCTAAAAAGGGTGAAAGACAGAAAACAAATATGATTATAACTGTACAGCAATAGTCTTCTGCATATTGATAGCCTAGTGTTATTGTATCAAAAAGCTCTTGGATATTCTATCATATTCAAGATGATAAAGACACCAGGTAAAATTCTGTCAAGTACATAATAAACTTAATATTATTTCTTTCTTATTCCAGAGAGCATAATTCTTTTAGTCTGCCTGAGAATAAGAACTCTTCTACTTCTCCATAAAACATGAACATTTCAACAGACATAAAGTAATTTAAAGCATGCATTACGGAGATTGAAGACTTCTACTCAACGGATGATAGAGAACCCCCAAAGTGTGAATATTTATGCAAATTTAAAATACAAGGAAATTGCTGTACATGAGATTATGTTTACACATACAACATCCAAATTGGAATTCACCCTGAGCGGAATTCTTCTTACAGAGTAAAATAAGTCAAGCTGAAGCCAATAGGAAATAAAAATATGGGAGGAGGAGAGGCGAGGACAAATTGTCCCAGGCAAAATAATAAAGACTGAAAGAAGACATGCAGTTTTGCAAAACAGATGCATTAAAGACTCACAATGCCCAATCTGTCAGAGTTCTTGTCACAGCACCTGGCACAAAGGGGATTCTCAATGAACATTAGTTTCCTTCTTGTGCCTCATCTTCTCCTTTGATTCCTTAATATTTTTTATTCAATTCCCAGTACTGTATGGTTCTGTTTTCTCAGGTCAGTTCAGTTTAGTTGCTCAGTCGTGTCTGACTCTTTGCAACCCCATGGACTGCAGCACTCATTGCTTCCCCATCTATTTGCCATGAAGTGATGGGACCAGATGCCATGACCTTAGTTTCCTGAATGTTGAGCTTTAAGCCAACTTTTTCATTCTCCTCTTTCATTTCTACTAGAAGACAACTTAAGCAGGCCCTTTCGAGAGCTCTTCATGTCATTAGTCATCACAGAATTATCTTCTTACCAGGTTTCCTTACACTATTGGCTCATAAAACTAACCAAGAACACATCTTCTCCACCTGCAGTTAATGCTTCCATGTGTACTCTGGATTTCATTTGTTTTCCTATTCCCAGGATGCTGCTTTCATGAGAGCTCCCTCCCTTCATTAATCTACAATATTATGTATGTTTGTATTTTTACCCATCTTCCTTTAACTATATTTAAACATCTTCTGTTCAAGAAACTCATAGTTTGACCCTCATCCTGTTTATATTCTTCTGTTCCACGCCAGACTCATCATATATAGGCCCTCTTTACACTGCTTCTAGATAATTGCCATTTATTTCTAAGAAATTTGTTTCTTGTACTGATATTCATGAAACTATTACCTCAAATACAACAGTGAACTTTCTCCATCTATTTTCACTTTTCTGTAGCATTTAGCGAAAATATCAAACTTCAAATCGCTTGATTTTCAAGACTGCTCTCATTTCTTAGTGCTTTACTTTGCTTTCCCATAGAGTGGATTAAATGAACTAATACAATTGATATGCTTAGAGTAGGACATTCATATAGAAAATGCTCAATAAATGTTTATTTCTTTAGTCTTTTTGTCTCAAGCACCTTGTCTTCAACGTCTATCTAAAGCCTAGGATGGTGTCCTTCTTCCCTTCTCACCATTGAGATGGTGTCTCATTCACTAGTGTAATTCTCCATGTATGTAATTCCCAAATACATCCCCAGACTTAACTTTTTAATACCTTAATTCCATATTTCCAGTTGCCCACTTGATCCCTTCTCTCCTATGTCTTGCCAGCTATGGAAACACATCAGATCCCAAGATGAACTCCTCTTGGATTGCACATTTTAAAATCTTTAATTTTTATTCTAATATCTACACCTCCTGCATGTAATATGTAATAATATGCTTACTGCAAAATATGAGTTGCCCATTTCCTTCCATTCTTATAGCTCAGATCCAAATTAGACCATACCTTAGAAAGAGGAACAATCTGATTGTTCTTCCCAACTGTCCCTGTTTCCCAAACTCCTTCAACATATTACTACCAAACCATTAGTTCCTAAAGCATGACAGACACTGTCCTTCTCACTCAAAGTCATGTCCCAGCCCACAGTGTCTGTTTGTGCTGAAGGGTCTCGTTCCCCTGGACTGTGCACCTAACACTGCTCCGCCCTGCACTATGACCTGGTTCCTGACCTCAGCCCCATGCCTTGCCTTCCTCTGTCCCTCATCCATTTCCACACTATGTTCTTCTTACTTCCGCTCACTCTTCCTTTTCCTGCCTTAAAAGCTCCCTAACCTTAACACAAGAAGCCTCCCCAATTTTTCCGTAAAGTTCTCCCAAACTCTTCTTACATTTTGTCCCAATTCTCCCAATTAGTTCAAAGTTAAAGTTGGACCTGTTTGCACAGATTTTATCTTCCCTGATCTGCATTATATTCCATCGTCAGCAATTCATCATCTGTTTAAGCACTGGTTTTGATTTATGGCCTTGATTTAAAATACAAAAACCAGGAGAGGGAAATAGCAAATAACAGCAGGTCACTTGAGAAAGGGGACTTATTAAAAAGTTAAATACAAATAAAGGGATTAGGAAAAATTATGTGAAATGCATGTAGACAATTTTATCTATTTCCCAATATTGCCTTTGATCAGTCCTGGGAGTGAAAATATCACCTTAATGGACTCTTATTTTCTCAACAGGAATGCAGGGAAGAGAGAGAATAAGAACTTTACCAGTGCCTATGAGGAACTGGCCTGGAGAGCAGAGACCCTGCCTGTGAATGACAGGCACTGATTACCAGTTGCATCTACCCTTATTGTCTAGAGGTATAATTCCTTCAGGCTCTATCTCAACTTAAAGGAGATGTTCCTTAAATCCATCCACTTCCCTTGCTCTGGCCGATTCTATGCTTCCCAAAGCCATCAATTATTAACAAATTGAGTTTCCCACATATATTGCTGTCAAAAGAGTGGTGTCGTAAGAAGACATCTGGTTCTAGTTATAGATAGCCCTAGGTGGATCTTGCTTTATAAACAAGCCAGACTCCGGTTTACAAATCCGTCTCTTCAGAGTCTTATTACTGTGAATCAATTCATCAACATGAAAACAACTTAGGGGAGCCGTTAGTCAAGGAGATAACCCTACAGCAGAGAAGTGAACAGCACGGCAGTGTAAGAAGCACTGAGTCATCTGCCTCCTTACAAGCCTTCTTAGCAACACTAGAGGAGAAAGTATAAATCCAGGAACCTGCACAGATATTTGTACCTTGATTTATTTTACTGCAAAATTAGTAAGTTGAAATAGGCATGAGCTAAGGAATATAACTCTTCAAATATTCTATAAAATCTAGATAGCCAACTTCTTAAACTCCCACTAATTTTGCCCATGGGCCACATTACCTGCTTACTTTCTGCCCTGGAAAGTGAAGAATGATACTCTTTTCTCTGAGCTCTGACTACAATAGTGCTTTATTTCTAAATGCCCTCTCAAATCCCCTTTAGAGCCTTACCTGATGTTCTTGTCCCAATCCTTTTTTTTCTTGAATCAAATAAATTGTGAAAGACTATCTGTAAACAATTATAAAAAGCTAACTAGGAAACTATTTCCCCTCAACTCCCATCTTATCCAGGTAATGCCTTTATCTATCTTTCAATTCTCCTTATTGCCTATGTTTTTCATGTAATATAAATGGATAAGCATATTAAAAAGCAAAATGAAAAAAAAAATGCTGTGCATTGAGACCAAAAAAAGCCTAGCCTTTGGAATGCCAATACTTTGGCCACCTGATGCGAAGAACGGACTCATTTGCAAAGACCCTGATGCTGGGAAAGAGTGAAGGCAGGAAGAGAAGGGGATGACAGCAGATGAGATGGTTGGATGTCATCATCTACTTGATGGACATGAGTTTGAGTAAGCTCTGGGAGATAGTAAAGGACAGGGAAGCCTGGCATACTGCAGTCCATGGGGTCACAAAGGATCAGACATGACTGAGTGACTGAACTGAACTGAACTGGGATTTTTCACAGAAGACAGTGAGGAGCTCTTGAAGGGTTCAAAGCAGGAGCAGTGCAGGTTTAGGATGGGTCTTAAATGATGTTCACAATCATGGGAGATGGATTGGAAGGAAATAAAATTGGAAGCAGAGATCCCAAAGAGAAGATAATTTAAATAGCATAGTAAGAGTTGAAATCCTAAGATAAAGGTAACAGTAGGAATTACTAGTAGACAAGGAGAATTTGAAAAGAACACACACACACACAAGTAAAAAGTCAGTCTTGTTTGATCAAGGAAATATTCCAAGTTTTGCAGGTGAGTAGAAAAGTAAACAATAAGGTAAGAAGATACGACAATAAGGACTCAGAAGAAGTTAATGCAGGAGGCAAGAGAGTAAATTTAGCCTGAAAATGATGATTCGAGGTGTCAAAAGTATATTCTGGTGGATATCTCCAACAAGCAGTTCAATATATTAATATCAGACTCTGAGGAAGGTTTGGACTAGGCTTATAAATTTGGAAATACTATGTAAATGAAAGCTAAAAATATCAGAATAAATGAAGCTAATGAAAATTAGTGTGAAGTAAGAAAGCAAAGGGACCAAGACCCAAATTGAAGAAGCAGAGGAGTGAACCCACCCAGGACAAAGAAATGGAATGAACAAAGATAAAGGAAAATGGAAAGAAAGACAGCCTTCACGGTAGAGAAGAAGTAATCCATGGTGCCAAGTTCATGGCTCAATTTTTCAAGAAGTTTATTAATGACCTTATAGAGAGCAAAAAGTTTGCTGATCAAAGTGTGTTGTAAGATGAAAGACGTAAATGGAAATATAGCAAGTACACACTAGTTGAGGGAGGAAACCACAATAATTGCAGAAATGTGAGTTAAATCCAGGGGATTTTTAATATAAAATGTTAAATATGTATTTACATCATAAGAAAGTGACTTGTGGTAGAAAGATAGAGAAGATAGATGATTGTAGAGATAGACACGGATGGGGCAGTGTCTTAAGACAACATGCAAGGGTCAGTAACACAAAAGGAAGCACCTAGTCTCGGGAGAGGAAGAGAAATAAGTAAAAAGTTACTATGGTGGGGGGAAAAAAAAAAAGAAAATGTCTTTGAGAATTCCAGTCAACAGTGGGAAGACAAAAAATTTTTTTTCCAAAAACATAATTTTTGCTTACCAGGTATCCATTCCACCCTTCTAGAAATAGCACTTTGCAGGAAATTTTGCTTTGAGGAAACATCTCAGTCTTTATGGTTTGGGTAGAGCTGAAACCATTCCCCGCCACCACCTTCAAGAGGAACTGAGATCTCCTAGTGAGCACACTCCACTCATCTGGCCAAAATAATTGACTAAGGCCAGGTGACCCACATACTAGAAGGATTTCTGCCATGATGACTAAGCTGCCATGAGCCACTACAATTTCAGATTAGAATGGCTGCAGCCCATCTCACAGCCACAGGTGAAATATGCACAAGTCCAATTCAGGGACCAGTAGGGTGACCACATAAATCATCATTCAGAGGAAAACACATTTGTCCAGGACAGCTGCTAAAACTGGACTCCAGAAGCACAAAATGGATATGGACTATCCCTGGCAAACCAAGTCACCTGACCAAGAGATGGAGATAGATTCTTCATAGTATTAACTGAGCATCTGGACCCAGAATTTCAGATTATATTGCTGACAAATTCCCAACTTTTCAAAATCCAATTTGAGTAGAGTTTTTCTCTCCTAAAACTTCAGGGAATTGCATAGAGAAGCTATGTAAAAAAGAAAAAAATGTCATATAGAGTCATGTCAGGTTCGGTTCAATTCACTTCAGTCACTCAGTCGTGTCCGACTCTTTGCGACCCCAGGGACTGCAGCACGCCAGGCTTCTCTGTCTATCACCAGTCCCCAGAATTTACTCAAACTCATGTCCATTGCATCGGTGATGCCATCCAACCATCTCACCCTCTGTCGTCTGCTTCTCCTCCCGGCTTCAATCTTTCCGAGCATCAGGGTCTTTTCCAATGAGTCAGTTCTTCGCATCAGGTGGCCAAAGTATTGGAGTTTCAGTTTTAGCATCAATCCTTCCAATGAATATTCAGGACTGATTTCCTTTAGGATGGACTGGTTCAATCTCCTTGCAGTCCAAGGGACTCTCGAGAGTCTTCTCCAATGCCACAGTTCAAAAGCATCAATTCTTTGGTGCTCAACTTTCTTTATAGTCCAACCCTCACAACCATACATGACTACTGGAAAAACCATAGCCTTGACTAGACGGACCTTTGTTGGCAACGTAATGTCTCTGTTTTTCAGTCTGCTGTCTAGGTTGGTCATAACTTCTCTTCCAAGGAGCAAGTGTCTTTTAATTTCATGGCTACAGTCACCATCTGCAGTGATTTTGGACCCCCCAAAAAAATAAAGTCTGTCACTGTTTCCCCATCTACTTGCCATGAAGTGATGGGAACAGATGCCATGATCTTAGTTTTCTGAATGTTGAGCTTTAAGCCAACTTTTTCACTCTCCTCTTTCACTTTCATCAAGAGGCTCTTTAATTCTTCTTCACTTTCTGCCATAAGGGTGATGTCATCTGTGTGTCTGAGATTATTGATATTTCTCCTGGCAATCTTGATTCAAGCCTCATCCAGCCCAGCGTTTCTCATGATGTACTCTGCATATAAGTTAAATAAGCAGGGAGACAATATACAGCCTTGACCTACTCATGTCAGATAAGGCAGTCATATTCACAAGGCTGGGAACATGAGGAGAAATAGGAGGTCACTGAATTCACAGCATCCTACAGTAATGTCAACCTAGTGGGTTAAAATAATTAAATATGCTAACATAAGACGATGCTTTTCAGGCTTATAAGAGCTATGCATGACATATAATCATTATAAAATGTAATAAAGCAGATTTTCCTAGAGTAGTACCTACTAAGGTAATCACGTTATTAAAAATTCTTAATATGTTTCCTCTAGGTTAAGACAATAAAGGCAAAGATAACACATGGATCAAAATCATTTGAGACAGAGCTCACCTTTATTGATTGCATCAACTGAAACAGCTTCCATTAAGAGGATCGGTGAGCAGGAGTATGAATTCCATCAACAACATGAGCAACTACTTTCACTGGACTCATTAAATTACTTAAAGCTCTATTCCTTGGTCTTTCCTGCTACAGCATGTTACATAACATCTACCTATTGGGATTGCTATAAGAATGGATCTAAGAGTATTTCTCAAGTACTTCAGGTTTTAGGAAAGTCAGTATTAATCCAATCTTTTATTTGGAGTCTTTTTTGTTGTTGTTGTTGCTGTTTTGGGGTTTTTTTTTTGTATTTATTTTTATTAGTTGGAGACTAATTACTTCACAACATTGCAGTGGGTTTTGTCATACATTGACATGAATCAGCCATGGAGTTACATGTATTCCCCATCCCGATCCCCACTCCCACCTTCCTCTCCACCTGATTCCTCTGGGATTCTGATGTTAAGTGATAGCTGTGAGGATATTAAAAAGACCAGAGTAACTGAATGACCGGTCTCTCTCAAGGTATCTTACGTCAGTGGAACTGGTCCTGAGCATGCAGCAATGTGAACGCAAAGAAAGGAACTCCGGTGCAGGCGCAAAAGTCCAGAAGACAATCAGCACGTCTGGTTTGAGGACCAGATTTTACACAAAGAGCTGAATAACCTTGGACAGGTCAAATGAACTTTACAGCACTCAGTTCTCTTATGTTTGAAATGTATGTATTAAGAGGTATGTCATGTATGCTAAGGCAAAATGGATTTCATGTGCAGATGTGTAAAAGGGGAGTTTCTGCGGAATAGGGGGAGGTATGCTGTAAGGGATCAGGAGTAGGCAGTACATACGTAAGAAAACAAGGAGTTAGAGAGTGAATAGTGATTTTTCAGGGTTGGAAGTGAATGAAAAAATGGAGTAACAGCTACAGGAAATAGCAGAGGCAAGAGAAGCACTTTTCAAGTAAAGGAGATGCCCTTTCCTCACTGAAATATCCTTGATGGCTTCTCGGGCCTTCTTGATTCTGGCACAGTTTTGTCTACCATCTGGTACCAGTCTATTAGCCAACCTCATCGACACTGCCTCCAGCTTTAGCCTTGAACTTCATAAAATCATCTCTTACTGCCACTGTAACTCTTCACTCCCATAACTGACTCCAAGTATTTTTCACGCCATTTACCCCATCTGGAATGCTTTTTGTCTGCTCCTAGGCTTTGAATAAACTCTGGCTCCTTTTTAGGGTCTTCTGTAAGCTTACATCCTCTCTTACACTGTTCCTTCTACAGCCCATAGGAAGTAATCACTATTAAGTGTGATAATGATAATATTGATGACAATTACATGGCTTAACTAATCTAACCCACCATAGCATGTGTGTGGGTGTGTATTCACAGACATTATATAATTTCTCACTATTCATAAAATGGTTAAACAATACATGTTTTATCATTTCATATTTCTTCGTCCAGATTAGCCAAAACATATCCTAATTTCTCAAGAGACCAAGGGTGGTGTCATGTTTATATCCCTTAACTTTATAGCTTAATATAAAATATTGACCAATCAATACTCATTTTAAGAATGAATTCAGCTACAAACTATTGCTAGGCTTCAATTATGTCGTTAAGCTCTACATCTCCAAAAGATAATTGTTCCTATTCTTTTACATCATTTTTTTCTATTTGCTTCTACTTTTTAGGGCAATTCAGAAGTTGTTCATTTCATTGACTGTAAAACACCATTGATTTTAAGAAGCACTATCATTGTATGCAATTCTACAATTTACAACACAACATGCTATCACTTATTGGATGCATCCCAATTCCAAAGATGTTCAAAAGTGAAAAAAAGAAAGTGTGTCTCTTAGAAGTAATGCAGCATGACAGTTAATCTAGGAAACATTTGTAATAAAACACCAAGAACTCATTCGTTGTCAATTATTGAGGAAGGCTTTATAGAGATCCTCTCTAGATAAAACATGTTCAGGAGACAAATATTTCAAAGGCCTTTAACCTTATAGCAGTTTCTTAAGATTATATCAAGGTAATCTGTAAAGAAATGCTAATTAAAATACATTGCAAATGCAATTAATATGGCTGAATCATGCTTACTGAAAAAGTCAATAAATGTAAATTATAATTAGAACAAACTTTTCTATTGAACATGAAAGTCACTCAATCATGTCTGACTATTTGCAACCCCATGGACTATACAGTCCATGAAATTCTCCAGGCCAGAATACTGGAGTGGGTAGCATTTCCCTTCTCCAGGGGATCTTCCCAACCCAGTAATCGAACCTAGGTTTCCCACATTGCAGATGGATTCTTTACCAGATAAGCCACAATGGAAATGGCACTCTTCCATTACTTTAGAAAATTAGAATTCTGATGATCTAGAAAATTTAAGTTTACTTTCTTTGCTGAAGACAATTGTTGTCAAACAAATGAAATTTAAGATTAACACACTAGTGACATATCACCTACTAGTGACATATCACAACAAAAACTCTAGGCATATACTACATCCAAAGAAAAGCATACATGAGATGAAACTAACAGAGAAGTATCTTGAGATTATGAATTACTGTTCATGCTACCTAGAGAGCAACACCATCTCCAATAGGTGGCAAACCTGAGCTGTGCAACAGCTCATAGCCATAGGAAATGAAACTGGCGATTGTAAGCCTTATATCCCAACATGGAAAGTCACTTTGACAGACTAGCAGGCCTGGCAACAGTGGAAGATTTAGCCCAAATATAACTGACTGAACTTACTGAACTCTTCCTGAAGTTATCATCCAGACATTAAAATTACCTACATGGTCTGATTATTATCTGCACCCAGAGAAGCAATTGAACAGGCCCTCACAAGAATGGTTTGTCTGACTGGATGACCTGGTTTTCTTTTTGGGCTAACAACACTTTCAACTGCTAAACAAGCCTTCAGCCAATCTGTTGGAAGTTTCCTTACGAAGTCCATAGGAACCAATTTCTCAAAGTCTTAGTTCTGACCAGGGAGTCGTTACAGAGCCTTTGTAACTGAAAGACGGAATTTATTCCTGATCTATACTTTTATATTCTTTTTTCCTTTTCAATACACAGTATTTTTATTTTCCTGAATGATTTATTAAACTAGGTCAGGTTCTTTTCCAAGCAGTGAAATTATGAAACAGCAGTAACTATCAGGATTCCTTTTCTGTAGAGGGACTTGACATTTCCATAATAGATTAAGTAAATGCCATCTGATTGTTGAGGACCTGACTATGTTTACCAGATGTCATTTGGTCTTTATTAGTGCTGACAAGTCAACCAAATCAACATTTTCTTCTGTCTGATCAGTTACAGTTCTATAAATTCAAACAGTAAGAGCTCTCAGACTCTCAGTGTTCCTGTATATCCAATCAACCAAGTACTCTGGATGCTAGCCTGAATTATTAAAAATAATATAGACATGGTACAAAATACTTGGGTCCTGTAGGTATGAGCAAACTATGACCCACAGACCAAATCAGGCCTGCTGCCCATTTTTGTACAGGCTATGTACAAAGAATGGTTTTTACATGTTGAAATGTTTACATAGTAAATGGTCATACCAGTATACCTACATAATAGCCTTTATCTGCTTCTTGACTCAGAAAAACTAGGATGTTAACTATCTGGTTCTTGACAAAAAAGGTTACTGACCGCTCCTATAGAACATCAATGTTTATATTAAGAAGCTTCCTAGGCCTCACGTTTTATTCCTGGAGGCTGCTGTGACTGCTGCTGCTGACAAACCCACATAAAGCATACCATGACTACCACCTCCCCAGCCACAATCTGCTTCCCAAGTCCCTGCAAAACAAACCCCTGACCTATCTGGGGAAAATCTGTGCTTACCCTGCGTAGGTGCCCCAGGTCCTAATATAAGTTACATGGTGGTATCCAGACTCTGCAGCTCTCAAATATCCAAATATTCAGTCATATACTGCTATATTACTCTGCAGAACTCAATTTTGTTAGGGGCCTGTTTAGGGCAGTCATCTGAACTGTTAGTTCTATGAACCTTCTGTCTGTAGTTTAGCAGTGTATGAACTAGAGATAAGAGACAGATGTATATCATGACATCCAAGCAGCTCGCTCTGGGCACAGTTATTAGAACTACACGTTGCGGGTCCCTTCCGGTACATTACTAGCCATGAGCTTATCTTCACGTTTCAATCTAACCCAATACCTCTCCACCCAGAATAAAATTTCACTTTTGCTATCTAGTTCCCACAAAGGAGCAAAAGCTTTTTATCTTGATAGTGAACTTTGGTTTGGGACCTTAATAATAGTTGTGCTTTTACAAGGGTGCAAGCCTTGAGGCTTAAATTGTTTTGCTAATAAGGGTGAGTACTATGACTGAAATACTACAACTACCTAAGATGTGAAAACAATTGTTTTTCCACGTGAGACTTCCACACAGCTCCTAATGATTTTCATTTTAGCTGAGGGCAAAAGGCCATGTCTAATGATGGTATAGCACAGCCAGGTATGGGGCTCTTCACTGATGCCAGACAAAATGGCGAAAATAGAATGAAGTTATATGATTGCAATTTGCCATAGGAAGCCATTATTAAAAGGGCATGTGGTATTTATAACGAAACACACTAGTATGGACTGATAAAATGTGAAGCAAATTAAACTTAAAAATACTAGATGACAATGAAGCCTGAAATGTACACTAGGAAAATCTGCTGAGTCTGTTTTATATGCATAATCAAAGAGATGACTTTAAAAAAAATAGAATATACTAGCTCTCACTTAGACAACACTTAGACATCACTTAAACAGTGCTTGATAAGTATCTGACTGCTTTCATGCCTTTGGGAAAGAGTGTGACATAAATACAAAGGAAAGCAATCAAACTGACTTTTATTGCCATCTATGGAGAAGGAAATAGCAACCCACTCCAGTATTCTTGCCTGGAGAATCCCATGGACAGAGGAGCCTATAGTACATGGGGTTGCAAGAGTCGGACACGACTTATCAACTAAACCACATGAGGTTACCTCAACTTTACCCCTGTAAACTAGCTGAGATCAGATACCAAGTATGATTTTTAAAAAAAAAAGAAAGAAAGAGTTAAGTTTAAAATGAAGTTTAACTTGAGAATTGGCTGAAAGGTCACAGATTACATCACTACATGCTCATTTAATCAACCATCAGTTTCAGTACATGTGAAATTGGTAATAGCAAATCTTTTCCAGGTGCTCCAGTGCACCTAAATGCTTTTTATTTTTTATTACCCATGTCTATAAAACAGAATGAGGAGAAAATCATTCAGTAGGCAAATTGCTCACATGGGCAAGTAAACTGTAAGGGGCCTTGTCAAACTCTAACCACTGTTTACTACTGAGTTTCCGATGACAATTGGTGCCTGGTATTCCATATTACATTTCATGGAATGTGTCCCGGCCTTTTGATAAGCGGAAAAGTGGTCATTAGCCACACACAGACAATGAACTTGTCCACCGTGTGCGCTCTAAATCTTAACAAAGAATTAAACACGCAAGTGGAAAATATCACGAGAGAGAAGAGTGCCATCTTCTGTTCTCCACAGGAATGCTTAATCACTTTATCAAAACGAAGAGAAAGAAAAACAACTACCAGGACTTGAACGCTTTCAGGGACACTATTGGAGTTAATTAAAACATTTCAAGGAAAAAAAAAAAAGATTTCAGTTTTAGGAAAATCACCTCAAAATTCTTCGTTCATACTCAATGAATACCTGTTCATGCCTTTCTTGTAGAAGTGTTTCTGTAAATATGAGACAATCCTTTCCTTTCCAGATCAGACAGTTTGAGATTCCATGAAAATGGTCTTTGCAACACTACTACTTCACAGATAAAATTCCTAGCTTGTAAAATTCTCTTCCTTAATGTATCT